CTTGTAATCCTGGTCGCTGGCTAAAGCCTGGGCTTTCTTGGCATGAACCAGGTTCACCATGTCTAGAGGCAGCTGGTACTGGCCACTGACAGATGCAGCGTCTTTGCGGTAATGCTGGCCGCTCTGCAGACGACCCATCTCTAAGCAGTGCATTAGATGTGAGTCTTCTTGAACACTGCGAGCTCCGATGTGCTTCCCCTTCTCCAATACATGGCTATGCTTGTAATGGACCTACCAAAGCAAACGAGGTGAATATGTGAACTGGATATTTGCGCACATGCAGGAACTGTTTCCTCACCACAAACTTAGCGGTATGATTGCTTATACATATTAATGCATGAGTTTATCAGAGCTGTTTTTGACCCTAGATGTTTATGAGTGTAAATTTAGAGAGGGTACTATTCTTACATCACTAGCAATGCTGGAGGAGGCTTTGGCAGCCTGGAAGGGGATATCCTTCATGGTGAGTTTATAACCCTGAGCTCTGAGTGCATGCCATGACTCCTTGTATTTAACCTGAAACAAAACAGAAAATGTTCAAACTTTCTTCTCTAACATCTTGTATGCAGGTTCATTTGAATAACTTCTTCTTTAAAATATCTTTGAAATGAACTATCAACTTCAGTTTAAAATAGGGGACTTTTATGATGTAGCAATATCCATAAACACTCAAATAGACTTGGAAGACTCGTCTTACATCACTGAAGTTAGCAGCGTTAATCTTGGCCTGGGTGATTTCAGGTCTCTCTGCAGTAATGGTGTAGTTGTGCCTGAAGTTCTCTCCCTTTTCTTTGTACAAGCGCTAAATAACATCAGACCACAAGACATTATAATCCCTGTTTTGCTAGAAATCACAAAACACAGAAACAAAATATGCCCTCCTACCTCATTAGTGATCTTGCTACTGCTTTTAGCATGCATGATATCCTGAGAATCCGTGACAGATGTGTGTTTGAATGAGTAGGGCTGCTGGCGATACTTTTTCTGTTCAGGCAAAAGAAATATATAATAAATACATACATATTGCAAATTTAAAAAATACAATAACATTCAAATGTTTGGAGTCTGTAAGATTTCTGAAGCTTTTGAAAGAAGTTTCTTATGCTCACCAAGGCTGTATTTATTCTATCAAAAGTACTAGAATATTGTGAAATATTATTGCAATTTAAAATAACTATTTCTATTTTAATATTTTGAAATGTAATTTATTTCTGTGATGGCAAAGCTGAAATTTCAGCAGCCATTACTCTGGTCTTCAGTGTCACATGATCCTTCAGAAATCA